GCAGCTTTAGTGCTCACAAGAAATGCTGGTTACCTGGCAGGCACTCTGTGTAGACCAAGGACGTTGTCTCTGGCTTAATGTGCCACCTTGCAGGGCAAGTCTGGCAGAGAAAGCCCGTGTTTAGCGTCTGCAGCTCAGCTAAAGATTCCTCTGCAGGGCACCAGGGATGGGGACTTGCAAGGTTAGTCGGTATGAGAGACCCGCAATCCGAAAACTTCCGGGAAAGATTATCAAGACCAGACCGAGGTGGCCTGCGTGGGTGGGGGATCCATTAGCTAAATGACAGTGCTGCCGCAGAAAGCCAGAAAGATCTGCGTGGGAAGTGAAAAGGCTTGGACTGGGCCTGCAGGAACCGAAAAGCGCCACATGTGTGAGAGAGACCGGCATCCCTGAGGCGCTCGGTGGGGATCGGCTGGAAGTACGGCCCCACGAAGACACAACAGGTTCTCTCTTTAGCAATTCCAAATCCAGGGGCCCCTCAATCCGTAAGAAATTGGCCAAACAAATGGGGCCTTATTCGAACTCCAGCCCTTCCTCTGGGGGTCTGGCTACTCCTTACGCTCACGTCCGCCTCAGCTCTCGCTTTTTTTTAACCCCGCCTTTCCCTAGTCCACTGTGGCCCCGCCCAGCCGCGGCCCGGGGCGGGACTCCAGTCGGCTCCCGGCTGGCCTTTCGCTTTCGGCCTCTGCCGGGGTGGTTGCTCCCTGTGGAGCTCCGGACACGTGTGGGTGAGTAAGGGCCGAGTGGGGAGAAGGTCTTGGAGGCTTATCAGCCCCGGATGAGACGTAGCTGTGGAGAGGCTTTTGCAGGGGCGCGAGGCAAAATTGGGGTTCATTCCCACGTGGCTCTGGGCTTGGAAGGCATCTTGAGACGCTGGGTGATAGTAGCCCCAGAGTCGCTCCCTATTTTCTACCATGCATCCTATCTCCCAAGAGTCACCTGAGTCGGATTCACAGAGCCTCGCTTGTCAGGCGCCAGGTCCACGAACTTGGGAAGGTTTGTGAGGAACACGTATCCGGGTGGAGTTGGGTCATGTGCTTCAACCCAAGCCCCGAGAAGGGGCACGACAGGGAATGAGCCCCTCTATTCAGTTCCCTCTTTCTTTAAATTACTTAGTGAAATTAGAAGATGGCTGGAAAAAGGCATTGTCTTAGATACTCTATATACAAAAACAAAAACCCCAAACCCGTTGCTGTAGAGTCGATTCCGACTCATAGTGACCCTATAGCGGCCGTATAGGACACAGTCGAACTGCCCCATAGGGTTTCCAAGGCTATAATCTTTACGGACGCAGACTACCACATCTTTGTCCCACAGAGCGGCTGGCTGGTGGGTTCGAACTGTCGACCTTTACTTCAGCAGCCGTTGCTTAACCACTGGTCCGCCAGGGCTCCTCCTACTTTATATAATTATGGTAAATTACAAGGGTGAAGAGGTGGGGGAGCTGGTAGGAATGTTTATTAAAATTCTTGTAAACATTTTGATTATTGTTTTCAACCCATAGTTGAGGTCCTTGGCAGGAATGGCACCCTAACTGCTTCCAATTCCCCTCACTACCATTAAGTGCTGCTTTTATTGTCCTTCTCAAGAGGTCCCACATTCAAGGCCCTCTTCAATCTAGTTTTAACCAGCCTTTCCAATTTCACTGTCCGTTGCTCTCTTAAGAGTAACTTTTCCCCTTCTACTACCCTGCTTGATGATCATCTTGCCTGGAATGTAGTTTTCATAATATCAAGTATTTACTGAGTGCCTGCTCTATACCAGGGATTATCTTTTGGGCTTAATTTAACTTGTATTCCATTTAAGCCTCCCAACCATTCTTATGTGTTGAGAGTACTGTTTATTAATATTTCCGTTTTACAAATGAGGAAACAGGTAGAGAGGTTAAATTAATTGCCTAATGTCACATGGCTGACAGGCTTTCTGTAGTTGTTGACTAGGCCTTTAATATGCTATTGTTGAACCACTGTGATACATAACCGATGAAAACCAAACCTTTTGCCGCCGAGATGATTCTGACTTACAGCAACCCTATAGGTCAGGGTAGAACTGCCTGATAGGGTGTCTGAGGAGTGCCTGGTGGATTCGAACTACTGACCTTTTGGTTAGCAGCTGTAGCTCACTGTACATAGCTCTTAACCACTGCACCATCAGGGCTCCATGTAGCCTATAAGACAGGTGAAAACAAAGCTAACCAGGGATGAGCTATTTGTTTTATTGGCTATTGCTTCTTGTGGCTTAAATCTAAGTTATGGACTTTTGAGGGCAGGGTTCCTGAGCTCTACACACAAGTATTTAGCAACTGTTGGCTGACTAATCTGAAGTGCTTTAATTGCAGAGGGGCCAGCTGTGGACATTGGACAGATGCAGCCCCAGGTGAGTGCAATCCCCTTAGCCGAGCTTTGGCCCCAGCTGTAGGCAGCTGCCTAGGTTGCCTAGTACCTAGGCAAGTGTTATAATGCTGGGAGAACAGCAGCCCATACTTAGCTGGTTGGCATTCTGGGCCTTGTTCATTCCATCTCTGTTGTCAACTATACCAGGATTCCAGCACAGTTCCTTATCTATTAAAGTTAAACCTGCAAGAGCATGACTTTTGCTGGGAGAAGCCTAAAAATCCAGATCTTAGTGGTTCTGGTCCAACAGGTTTGGCTAGCATGGATCACATGTTGGACACTGAACAAAAGTAATCAAGCCAGGGAGGAAAGTACAAGTAGAAGGCTTTTATTTGTCACAGCAGGTTTCTTTTTTTTTTTTTTTCCCTGTTTGAAGAATGTGGTGATAACCTTTGAGTGCCTACCAAGTGCTCAAAAGGGGAGGATGTACTGGGTGGGATTTTTCTCATTTTACTGAAATGAAAGGGCATGCTTCCACTCCCCCACCTTACAAAGCTAGTCATGTTGCTCTCTTTATGTAGGGGTTTCGTAGCTATAGTTATCTATGAGAATGCAATATTAGAGAAATGTTGGTGTATATTTGCTATAAAATCATGGGCATTCTTCTCTAGCTCTTTAATATAAAATTATCAATTGATGGAGGGACTTTAGGAAGGTACTAGTACTCCCTGGATGGTGCAAACAGTTGAGTGCTTGACTATTAACATAAAGGTTGGTGGTTTGTACCCACCTGGAGGTGCCTCAGAAGAAAGCCCTGGTGATCTACTTTCAAAAGGTCACAGCCTTTAAAACCCTATGGAGCACAGTTCTACTTTGCAACACAGAGGGTTGCCATGAGTTGGAATCGACTAGATGACAAGTGGTTGGTTGTTTGGGTTTTTTTTTGCAGGAAGGTGCTGGGCTAGCTACAACCTTATTGATTTTTTTCTTTGGTATAACAGTATTTGTGCTGATTTTTTGCTGATTTTCAGGAGTGAACAGAGTTGTTGCCCCTTAGAGCAGTAAGTATTGAGTCCCCTTTATAGTGGTTTTGTTTTGGAATACTAATTTTCTGAGAAGAGATGCCTCTCAGTTTTAAGCAAACACCACTGAGAATGATGCAGCAGCTTGTCCAGAAGAACTGACTTAGTTACTGCTTCTGTGAAAAGCGACATCCTAGTTTCCACGGGAGGAACTGGGGAGGATGGTTGGGGGAGGTTATTTATCAAAGCCTGTTCTTTTCCATCGACTGGCTTCCCTTAAAAGGATTCTCATAGCTAAACATTGAGTGCTTTGTGTGAATGCCACAAATGTTCATTGTGAATAGCCTTTTACATATGGGGTCTTAAGACTAGTGATATCTAGAGGGTTTAGGGGATGGTTGGCTTTATTGTACTGATCTCGTAGGGAGGAAAAAGCAAATAATAGGAAATAAAATAATTACTGAGACCATAGAAACTATGGTAAATCATATGTGTCAGTAGTACCCTGTTTCCATCTGTAGAAAAGCTGCCTTAGGAGCTGCTGTTCTAGTTTAGGGCATAGAAGAGTGGAATCTGTGGGAAATGTACCACATCTGCTTGTCTGTTTCTTTTTAGCGTGACTTGAAAATAGAGCAGCACTCCTGAAGAGAGGAAATAGTGGCAGGTGGCCAGTCTGCGCCTGTAGTTTTCAGGTAAATGTCCCTATTTATTCAAATACTGACTGCATCCCATGTGCCAGGCCTGTTGGCTAGTTGGTGTCCATCAGGAGACAATTGGGAGGCAAAACCATTTGCCCCCAACAAATTCAACCTCCAATGGGCAGTAAAAGACTTGGTAGGAATTTGGTGGTTATGCTCTGAAGTCATCTAGGATCTCAGATTATCTGTGTCATTCAGTCTGAGGAATTTATAGGGAAGGTGGAAAGGCCTTAATTAAATGATACACACTGCTAGAATCTGCTAGCAGTTGGACTTTGAAGTGACACTAGTGTCTTATGGCAGATTGCAAGTTCCGTGAGGGAGAGCTTAGTGTACTGCTACATCCCAAGCACAGTGCCTGTCACGTGGCAGGAACTCCCTGAATGTTGAATGAAACACTGAAGTCACGGGAAAGGGGTTCCTCTTTTGTATTTGTTTCAAGGGTTTGGCAGCAGGATCTGGAACCAAAGCTTCCGGGCTTTTTTTTAAAAATTGTTTTATTGTGGTAAAAATATATGTAACAAAACATTTGCCAATTCAAAGTATTTTACATGTATAATTTAGTGATATTCGATATGTTTACATTGTGCAACCATCACCTCTGTTTACAAATTGTTCCACCACCATTAAAAAAACTCAGCGCACCCTAAGCAATGACTCCCCCTCCCATTTACATCTGGTAACCACTTTGGTCTCTGTACATTTGCCTATTTCATGTAAGTGGGATTATATCATATTAGTCGTTTTGTGCTCCTAACCTTTTGCAGTCAACATTCAGTTCATTTTGCTGTGTGCCCTTGAGTCAATTCCTGTGTGACAGGGTAGAATTGCCCCATAGGGTTTCCTAGGCTGAAATTACAGGAGCAGAACACTTATAGTGATGCCTTTATCCAGGTCTAACAGGTTACCGAGGTATCTGAAACAAGAATACGAAAACTGAGGAATCACCCAACAGTTGTCAGCTCTCCAGGCTAGTGTGATGCCTGTGATGGTGTTACACTGTTGGAAGAACAAGTGTTGCCTTTATTGAGGTCTGGCTCCAAGCACTGTTTTGGTGTTGAGGCCGAGTACCTTTGGGTAGCATTTGCACCTCTGAGAGTGGAATGACTCCTCCTGTGGAGTTGGTCCTAGTCTGGGTGCAAACAATTTTTTTTCCCTGTTAGAAAAGGACAGCCTGTCATTCCTTTCCTCTTGATTACTAGGTGCCTTGACCTGAATGAGAAACCTGCCTCCATCAGGACCTCAGATTTCTTGACAGCTCTGCGTGACACCAAGATAAGTAGTGTATGTAGTCCTTTTATCATGTAAGATCTAATTAATTTCCTTCAGCTCAGATGGATGGAAAAACTTATAAAAGTATGTTTTTAAGTTTTGTGGAGTATCAAAGTTTTAGAGGATATTTTGAATCTAAAGTCCAAGACTTAAACTAACCCCTCATTTTCTAGAGCTTCACTATTCAATAGGCACAAGCTACATGTGGCTGTTTAAATTGATTAAAATAAAATAAAATTAAAAAATTAAGTTTCTCAGCCCCAATATTTGTTTGACTAGTGACTACCACATTGGAAACTCAGAACATTTCCGTAAATGCAGAAAGTTTTATTATATAGTGCTGTTGTAGAGCAAGGATCTGCAAAGTTTCTGTAAAGGGCCAGATAATGTTTTAGGCTTGTGGGCCATATGCTGTCTGTTGCAACTACTCAGCTCTGCAGTTGTAGTGTGAAAGCAGCCATAGATAATATGGCAACAAATGAGCATGGCTATCTTCCAATAAAACTTTGTTTCTGAGCACTGAAATTGGGATTTTATAAAATTTTCAGTGTCACAAGATAGTTTTACCCTTCACCCTTACCCCACCCCCCACCAACCACTTAAAAAAACATTAAAACCAGTCTTAGCTCCAAGGCCATTCCAAAACAGATGGCAGGCCAGAATTGCCCTGTGGGCTATAGCTTGCCACCCCCTGAACTACAGAATGAAATTCAGGCCTTGAGAATTGAACAGCTCATTAGTGACCCACTCAGAGCCAGTCAACCTCTTGGAGTAACAACATGTCTCCCTGAAAAATTCCATGGTCAATACTTTTGTCTTATAGCCTTAAACTCTTCTCATCTTTTAGAGGGCTAAGGTAACTTTAATAAATTATTTAGTAGTAGAATAGTCTTTATTTGCATGTGTTTGGGGGTTGGTTTGTATATACTTTTTGCAGGGTTACTTTTTTCATAGTGATTCTTTCCATTTTTAATGTGCTCTCAAGGGAGAGGTCTGAAGGAAGAACAGCAGTCTTTGGTTTTTGGCAAAGCCCGGGATCACCAACTTAGTAAAAGGTAGTGAAATAAAAATGGCCTCTAAGGAAAGGGGAAAAACTTAGATGTTATGAATAGCTGTAGGATTTAAAATATACAGAGTTTCAAATTCCTCGGAGGTGCAGGTTGCCTTCCTGACCACAGTAGGGCTACCCTTGTGCACAGAGAAGGGCTTCTATGTTGATACTTGTATTCAGTGGCTCAAGAGGTTTCAGTGGCTTAATCATGCAAATTAAAATGATTTAATGGGATTTCCTACTTGATAACTGAAGCTAGTCACCTACTTATCCCTGTTGACTTAATTATTTTTTTTTTTTAAGCAAAGAATTTTATTTCCTGGTAGGTCTAAGAAGACTTACATCATGATGCAAAATATTTCAAAGCACCTTTTTTTTTTTTATCCCATCCTTTTCTCTATTTTCCCATGAGACAATAAAATTCCAAATGGACTACTACTATACTATAAGTACCCAAGCCTCTTTCTCCTGCCATAGGTAGAAGTTAGTAAACACAAGTGCCTTTCTTCAAGTACCATGGTAAGAGGAGAAGCATTAAAGGTGAGTAGGGGACCCCAATTATATTTTAGAGTTTTCCCTGGCACTTGTCAATATTTTACTTCCTTTTTTGCAGGGTTGAAAGAAAATACTGTCAATGGATTTTTTGCATTTTAAGTTTTGGATCACACCTAAATTTTAAACAGGAAAATAAAATCAAGAGTAATAAATTTTGCAGTCCCCAAAGGGACACAAAAAGGTGGTTGAGTGCTTAGGAATTCACACAAAGGAAAACAATCTGCTAAGAGCAACTAATTAAGAACTTAAGAGTGACAATGACTCCTGTGAATCTTGTTGATTAATTAGGGCTTTATGAACAGCTCCAGTTAATGGACCTGTCAATATTCTCTTAGAAAACAATTTCATTGAATTAACAAATTAACTAATACTTAGAATGTCTACTTATCAACACCAGTCCCCTCACTGCTATTTAGGAACACTTTTAATGAGCTAAGTTTCTGGGTCATGTACTTGTCAAATGAATAATCTAGGGCTTGGTTCAAAGAAGCCCCCCTGTTACTTGTCTGGCCTTACCTCTTGTCTAACAAAAGCCCCTGGGTGGTGAAACAGGCTCTGCTGCATTATTATTAACCAAAGCCCATACGGTATTCAGAATTCCATAGTTTTTACCTAATGTCTCTTTTCTGATCCAAAATCTCATCCACAATACCATAGTACATTTAGTTGGCATGTTTACTTAGGCTCCTCTTGGCTGTGACAGTTTCTCAGACTTTTGATGATCTTGACAGTTTTGAGGAGTACCAGATAGGTATTTTGTAGAAAGTCTTTCTATTGGAATTGTCTTTAAGTTTTTCTAATGATTAGAATGGGATTATGGGGTTTTGGGGAGTAAGACCACAGAGGTAAAGTACCATTTTCATCATATATCAAGGGTATGAACTATCAACATTACTTAATACTGTTGATGTTAACCTTGATCACCTGGCTGAGGTCATGTTTGCCAGGTTTCCCCAGTATAAAGTTATTCCTTTTTCTCCCTTTCCATACTATATTCTTTGAAAGAAATCACTATGGATAGCTTACTTTTATGGAGTGGGGAATTGTATTCTACCTCCTAGAGGGCAGAGTATCTACATTACTTACTTGAAATTCTGCTCTGGAGATTTGTCTCTTCTTCTCCATTTGTTTATTCAGTTATTTATGCTCTGGTGCCCCTTTGGCATATCCCTGCCATTGTGGGCTCTTTTCAAAAAGCATTTCTTTGCATTATGTGATTACAATCTGCTCCAGGCTGATGTTAATGTATTTCCTGCCCCAGTCCCAGAATCAACTATTTCTCCAAGGAGCCCTGGTTCCTGTTACTAGAGAATGGTGTTAGGAACCAAGATCTGGGCAATAGGTGTGCTCATTGTGACTGAAGTGTCGCATCTATGCCATATCAGATGACAGAAGAAGGAAGATACGTATACTAACCAGGATCCTTAGTTCATTGCCCCCTATATTTTATAAACATTCCATTTTTAATATTCAATGCATTTTTATTCTGTGGTCTTCATTTATTGTTTCATTTGGAATAGGTGGTTGAGCCTGTTGCCTTTTATAATGAATGCACAAGTCCTCAGATGACTGATTATTTTTACCCTATGAGCTCATAGTAGAGGACAGGGATTTTGTATCAGCTGCTGGTCCAAGGAGGAGCCAAAGCCTAGGCCCTAGTGTCCAGTTCAGTTGAATGAAAGTAAAGATATATATACTTCAAGGCAGAGACCCTCTGAGTTAAAATCTGGGCTCCTCTAGAGTAGTAAATGTCCATTTTACCCTCAGTTGTAATTCTCTCAAGAACTTCCAGGGGACAAAAGTAAAGCTATCTAAACTTGTTGCGATATGCTGGTAACCCTAGCCGGTGATGGGTTGGACATAGAGTAATGAATGGGAGGAAAAAATGGGACAGAACAGAAAAGTTCTGTCCCAGCCCCAACTACTCCTATGCCCATGGCACTTTTCTACACCAGTCTTCTATTTCTTATCCTTCTATGCTAGAATCTAACCATGATTATTCTTTACAGGGGATTCTCATGTTTTATTTCCCAGACCTTCAACGTCCCTCTCGTTTGTGAATTATCTCCAGGGCTAGGACGACAACCTATGCTAATTGCTCATCTTGTCAGAGTCTGTGGTCATTTAACTGCTAACCTTTTTGTGGGTTTATGGCTTTTATTAACTGTCTGCTTGACATTGGCGTTGAATAAGACACACTGCCTGTTGACCTTAACATGCCTGTCAGGCCTTGCACAGTCTAACCCTTACCTCTCTCAACCTCTTATCTTTACCATCAGATTCCCTTCCTGCCATACTGCTGTTTTCCATTCTGCTTTAACCTTTTCTTCTCTACTTTGTTGTCTACTTTGAGATCTCAGCTCAGTAGATGATTCTGCAGTCTTTGCTGACTGTCAGAGCACCACCTTTCTGTCACATCATACCACAGAGCCAGGTTGTTAATAAGTTTTCCTCCAATTCTGATGCCAAGTTCTTCATATAGTCCAGTTTCTCAGATTATTTGTTCATCATGCAAATTATGAATAAGTATGGTGAAAGGATACAACCCTGATGCACAGCTTTCCTGATTTTAAACCACGGTATCCCCTTGTTCTGTTTGAATAACTGCCTCTTGGTTTATGTACAGGTTCTGCATGAGCACAATTAGGTGTTCTGGAATTCCCATTCTTCACAATGTTATCCATAATTTGTTATGATCTATTCAGTTGAATGCCTTTGCCTAGGCAATAAAACACAGGTGAACATCTTTCTGGAATTCTTTACTTTCAGCCAAGATATATCTGACATCAGCAATGATATTCCTCGTTCCACGTCCTCTTCTGAATCCAGTTTCATTTCTGGCAGTTCCATGTCGATGTACTTCTGTAACTGTTTTTGAATGATCTTCAGCAAAATTTTACTTGTGTGTGATATTAATGATATTGCTTGATAGTTTCTGCATTCTGTTGGGTCACCTTTCTTTGGAATGGGCACAAATATGGTTCTCTTCCAGTCGGTTGGCCAGGTAGCTATCTTCCAAATTTTTTGGCTTTCAGTGCTGCATCCATTTGTTGAAACATCTCAATCAGTATTCCGTCAGTTCCTGGAATCTTGTTTTTCACCAATGTATTCAGTGCAGGTTGGCTTCTTCCTTCAGTACCATCAGTTTTTGATCATATGCTACCTTCTAAAATGGTTGAATGTCTGCCAGTTCTTTTTGGTACAGTGACTGTGTATTCCTTCCATCTTTTGATGTTTCCTGTGTCATTCAATATTTTCCCTGTAGAATC